ATGGATGGATGGATTCTTCCTACGGATGCACAGTAGAAAAAAACAACTCCAGGAGGTTCTAACAGAATCAGAACCAGGCTCGGTGTGAGTGAAGCTGAAGAGACTAAGAAGTGTTAAAAAACATGTTGGGTTCATTTTTAATGTTCCCTTTCTGTATGTTTTCAATGTCGAGTTGAGCAGATGTTCGTAACGTCCATCTTGTGGTTCCCTGCAGATGTTCGTCCCACTGCCGTGGTCAGAGAAGATTCCCCGGAGGAGCCCAGCTCTGACTGGGACCCAGAACCCGTCCGGATCAAGGAGGAGCAAGAGGAGCTCTGGGACAGTGTGGCAGGGGAGCAGCTGGACATGAATGAGGAGATGGAGAGCACCAGAAGAAGAGTGAAGAGTGAGGACGAAGATGAGGAGGAGAAGCCTCTGGTCTTACTGGGCGCTCTCCCCAGCATCAGCTCAGTGAACCAGATGAAGTCAGAAAGCGATGAAGAGGATGGAGAAGAAGGAAGATCCAGAAGGATCCCAGATCCCAGCACACATGGAGACACTTCCAGCTCTTCAGACACTGAAGTCAGCGAGGAGGAGGAGAGTGATGATGAGAACCACTCTGACGCTCAACTCAAGCCCTTGTCAGACTCTGAGGCTGAAACCGAAGGGAGTGAAGACGACTGTGAGGAGAGCGGCTTTCGCAAGGCGAAGGGGAGATCTCACAGCAAACCTTGGAGCTGCACCGAGTGCGTTAAACGGTTCACCTCCAAGTGTTCCCTTCAGAGTCACATGGCAAGTCATTCACAACAAAGACCTGATGGGAAGGAGGAGAAATGTTTTAGTTGTGGCATCTGTGGGAAAAGTTTCAAGAGAAAAAGTCATTTAAACCTGCACACAATAATCCACACAGGGGAGAAACCGTTTGGCTGCGACGTCTGCAAACAAAGATTCGGTCGAAAGTCTCACCTGAACAGACACATGACCATCCACTCTGGGGAGAAACCTTTCCAGTGTGAGAAATGCGGCAGAAAGTTTGCCAGTAAATGCCGCCTCAACTCGCACCAGAGAGTTCACTCTGACGAGAAACCATTCGGCTGCGACATGTGCGAGCAAAGATTCAAGGACAAGTCGGCGGCGAACCGACACATGAAAGCACACTCTGGAGAGGAACCAATCAGAGAAAAGCAGTTTGGCTGCAACCAGTGCACTAAAAGGTTCACCAGTAAAAGTTGCTTGAATTCACACTTGCGAATCCACAGTGGAGAGAAACCGTTTGTTTGTGATCTCTGTGGGCAGAAATTCTTCTACAAGGCTAATCTGAAAGCACACATTCGGATTCACACAGGGGAGAAACCCTACAGCTGTGACGTGTGTGGACAAGACTTCAGATCCAAGTCCCATCTAAACACCCACCAGAGAATCCACACTGGAGAGAAGCCGCTCAACTGCGACGTTTGTGGACAGCGATTCAGCCGTAAGTCGCATTTAACCAGACACATGAAGGTCCACACAGGAGAGAAACCCTTTGGGTGCGTTCAGTGCAGCAAGAGGTTCACCAACAAAACCGACCTGACCTTCCACCTGAGAATCCATACCGGGGAGAAACCGTATGCCTGTGATTTCTGCGGGAAGAGATTCATGGTCAAATCGGCTGCAAACAAACACATGAGAGTGCATTCGGGAGTGAAGCCATATGGCTGCCATCTTTGTGGGCAAAGGTTCACAGCGAAGCCCAGTGTGAAGAAACACATGATCATCCATACAGGGGAGAAACCCTTCTGCTGCAATGTCTGCGGGTATAGATTCAACCTGAAGACCAGTTTAGACAGACACGTTAGGATCCACACCGGAGAAAAACCATTTGGTTGTGACGTTTGTGGACGGCACTTTAACCGCAAGTCCACTTTAAATACACACATGAAGATCCACAGAGAAGAGTTGCCTAGAAATGCATCTTTGGAGGAAATTTGAGTTCACAACTAACCCAACCAATACACTTTACAGGTTTGTTTTGAAATTGATGTGATTTGTGAACAGGAATAATATTTCATTTATGGAATCTGTTTGTGGATGCTAATACAGTTACAGCTTTAATGAAAGGTAGCGGATCATTTTAGTTGTTTCTCAGGTTGTTGAGGTGTTTATCTGGGAAAATACAAACTGGTTTACCTGTAATGTTTATGGGCGATATCGGATCTGGAAGGAAAAACAAACCTAATAAACACTTATCCTTGAGACCAGCTCCATCTGATCCACAGACAGATGGAAAAGGATGCAGTTCCTCCTTCTAACCACAAGTCCAGTTGAATTAATGGTTAGACTGAAGAGAAAACAGTCTGGTCACTTGGTGGATTCCCTCCAAGCACAGGATGGATTCAGTTAGTGACTGATTAGAGCATTTAAGTCCTTTGATCAAAATAAGTTGGTTTGATCTTGACTGTAATGTGTCAGAGGATCTTGTCAAAGGCCAGCCCCAAAAGGACTGGCTGCAGTATGTTGTTACTGCCACAAGGGGGCAGTGACTGACAGAAAGAGGCTGACGTCTTGTGTACGAGTTCCTTCCGTCTGTAAATATTAGCTGTTATTAGAACCGCTTGTGCATTTTAAGTTGCTGAACTGATATTTATTTGTAGTTTTATATTTATTTTAATAACCAGGCGCTTGTGAAAGGAACATCAGCTGCTAATTAAAATGATTCAGTTTTCAAATAATCAGAAGTTTGACTGAAAGCTCAGAAGATCTGAACCGATTACGGGTTTTACCAATATTTATGTGACTCCAACCAGAATCATGCCTGTTTTCTGATCTTCTGTTGCACACCTTTCCTGGTTCTGATCCAGTTCTGACCCGGTCCGGTGCTCCACAGTTCAGCAGGAAGCCATGTTGATCTGAGACGGTTTCTCACGATTAGCTCAGACTCATCATGCTGGAACCTCGTCCTTCTCCTGGTAACAGAACCTCAGATCAGTACCGGTTCTGGACTCAAAGTGGTACCGACTCATTTTGGCTTTTTTCTGTTCATGTTTTATGTTGAAAACGTAAAATAATCCAAGCTTTTTTCTAAGATGAAAATGTGATTAATATTTATTCTCCTTTATTGATGCTATTTTGGATCCACACCAGAAGCAGCTTGTTGTCTTAATGAGGCTGTTTTAACTTCAGCTGCATGTCGATAATCTGGATTCTAACTCCATAGCGGCTCGCGGTCGGTGCTAAATGATGCAGCAGGTCAGACCTCCAGAGTCGGGCAGTGACACAGGAAGGAAACGTTGATGTGTGGAAGAGTTAACTTCCTGTAAACTCTCTGGCCTTAAGAACTGGTCTGAACGTTCTGATTGGCTGCCGTCCTCCAGGAGCCCGCCCCTACCTGCTGATGAAAGCGGTCTTTGTTCTGGCCGGGGCTAGCTTGGTTTCTTCTCAGGTAAAGACTTGACGCCTCATGTATGAAGCGTGAGCCACATTTCACTCACGTCGGCTTGTATAAAAATGTACGTGGCGTGAAAGTTTACGTAGATATGCGTAAACTTTTGACCTGCCGTGAAAATGTGCAGCAGCCATACAAACTTTTGTGAACAACAAACTGCAAAGCACCAAAACTCACCTAAACACTGAAACCTGAATTCAGTTATTAAGACAAGATGTTTTTTCATGGTTTTAATCTTTTATTGTTTAAACTGAACCACATTTATCCTCAGAAAATAACATCACACACAGAATAAATCAAATAAAAACAAAAGGATGAGAAAACCTCAGTGGAACGTAAATAGTAAGTTTCTTCAGTTTGGTCTCTTACAGCTGTAACGTCGGTCTGTGTGCTGAATGCATGAAATGCCTGCTGTCTGCTTGGTCATTTCATTCTGACTGGAGAGAAAACAGGCTGATCAGCAGATGGATCCACCAGGTTCGGTTCTGATCAGGAGACGATCAGGTCCATCAGCAGCTGATCCAGGTGAGCCGCTACCTGAGGAGCTTTGGCTCTGATGGAGGATTGATCACAGATCAGATCCATCTGATGGTCGATCAGCGTTTAGATTCATCCTGGAGCTCTGAGCAGAACTTAGAGCGGTACCAGCGGTACCGGTCAGCAAAAAGCATCTCCATTCTGTAAATGTGCAACTTATACACATGATTGCTCTATTTAGAATAAACGTCCACATTCCCACTCGCCGTGAAGGTCTGTGTCTCTTTAGGCCCAGCTGGACGCTCTGCTGTTTCCACTCAGATCTTTTTCTATTTTTTTCTTTCAAAGTTTTTATTTTTGTTTTTGTGAGATGACCTTATGTGCCATGAAAGCATCTTTTAAATGAAATGTATAACTATTATACTGCTAAAAGCAAGCACCGTTGCCGTGGTTACTGCTTCAGGTGGTGACAGTCTTGGAGGTATTTATACTAATTTAAATTAATATGTGGAGGAAACAGGCGGAGCAGCTGCTCTGTTTCCTGCTAAATTAGGATTTATAAAGGAAAGCTGTCACTGTACTCACAGCTTCATACATCTGAATATTTTTGTGTGCCACACTTTTCTAAATTTGTCCGTACTCCAGTTTTTAGTGACAGCTGAGTAGTGTTTATACGTGAGGCCCCTGGTTTTTGCAGATCGGTAGCAGAACCAGCTTGGTGGAAAGGACTCCTGGTCATGTTGGAGCTTAAATTGGATTATTTCTGAAAGAACGCTCGGGTTTAACATCCTGATGGAAACATAAACTAATCGTTTTATTTCAGTGTTTTTTAGGATACAAATTTGAACGTTATGATTATGTCTTCACATCTCAGTCATATGTCTTATGCTCTGTTTGAGGCGGCCATGACGGTGTTATTAAGCTGGTGCTTAATAACACCGTTATGATGAAGGCAGAACCTTCATCCTGTCTGGGTTTGAATGAAGAACATCTGTTAGCATCTGGAACAGAAACAGACATGTTTGCTTTTTAATGAGAAGCAGAAATACATTTCAGTAGAACCGGATCAGCAGGATGGGTTGAAAGTAAAATATGACTGAGAACAGGTTATTGTTCATCTTCTGATTATTGTAAGGTGGTTCTGACAGAACCGTTTCTTGTCCATGTAAAATGGCCTTTTATGCTTCATGTTTTTAAATGTTCTCGCTAATAAATACATTTTACCAGAAAACACTGCTTTCTAAAAAACTTATGACGCAAAATGAATCTGAATGATAGTTTAAAAACTAAATTTAACAACTTTTCATAAAATTTGATCGCAGTTCTTGAAGCCGGTCTCAACGTCGGTATTTAATTTGAAGACCACAGCTATAGAAATATCACTAACATAAATCCGAGCATTAAATGTGCCGTATTTTCCAGACTA